TATCAACATTCAACAAATTCATCTAGGCAAATGGTATGACACTATCTCTAAAGTATTTTTTCATAACATGCTCATGGATTCATATGTTTCGATGACTATTGGTTTGTGCTCAGGGATCCTTGGAAGGAATCATTTCATTAGGACCATGGGGAGGTTCAGGTGGCGACCCCTGGAGTTTCAAGGCAAGCCTTGGGATAACTGAGATAATCATCCATGAACAAGTTAATATTAAGTCCATTTCTTTCAAAGGTGCCAGTGGTCATATTTCTGGGACATTTGGTGGCAGGAACCCCAATGCTAGGGGTGAAGAGAAAAAGGTGACTTGGTTAAATAATATATTAATAGATCAGCACTTAATCATTGTCATTTTACTTACCTTTTATGTGTTGTGTATATCATGTGTAGATTGAAATCCGTTGGCCTTCAGAGTATTTGAAATCTATAAGCGGAACTTATGGAGATTACAATGGACTGTTAGTAATCAGGTCCCTATCGTTTACTACAAATCTCACCACTTATGGACCTTTTGGAACAACTACTGGTGGTCAGCAGTTCTCTATCCCGATACCAGAGAGTGTCCTTGTTGGGTTCCATGGGAGATCGGGTTACTACCTTGATGCACTTGGTATTTTGGTGCAACCGGTCAGTAATTCATTCAACCATAATATATCAGTAGATCATGGTATTAAATTTGATTCTTCATAATTAGAATGGGAGCATTGTTTAATTAATAAATGATTCTAATGACCTGTTGGTTGCTCTTTTTTCTTTATGTCAACATATATGCTATTTTATATATTCCGTAGTGATACTGATGTTGATTTGACATGCGACGCTTTCCATGAAAAACAAAATAATGTTTTTGGAGGGTATCCAAGTGCACGTACTGCATGCAGACTGCACCCAACCTCCCAGCTCGTGATTTTGGAGATCTTGACGGTGTGGATACATTTTGCAAAGAGGAAGCAACAAGTTTCTAATTGGTTTTCGTAGTTGTGAGAATTATTCTTCATTTTGGTTTTCTCTTGACTTTGCATCTATGCAAGAAAGAGAAGCAATCTTACTTGCCATCTTTGGTAAGGGATTAAATTATCTACTTTAATCGAGGGGCTAATGAAATGACTCGAAATAAAAATTGTACTGAAACATGTCAATGCGTGGCTTATTTGGAAATATTAAGCCCTCTAAGTAGAAAAGAATTGCTTCGTGATTCTAGTTATAGAAGATTTACTTCGAAAAATAAATACGCTTTACCTACACTTAGTAGCATTGACTATGACTTCTGGTTTGGGTGCAGGTACCTTCACATGGAAGCATTTCATTTGGGCCATGGGGTGGTCCTGGTGGTGATCCTTTTAGTTTTAGGGTGGGAAGTTGGATAAAAGAGATAATTGTTCATGAACGAAACAATATCAAGTCCATCGCCTTTAAAGACGCCAATGGCCACGAGTATGGAAAATTTGGTGGCAATAATCCAAATGACACTGGTGACAAAAAAACAGTGAGTCTGGCATTTATGGCTTGTATAGGATAACAAATCAAATGAATCATTTCTTTTCTCTTCCTTATATAGCCAAGCTAATTTTTCATTTTTGGGTGAGCTAAGTACCTAAATTCCACGATGCAATTGGTAATGTGTAGATTGAGATTGATGGGCCTTTAGAGCATCTGACATCCATAACTGGGACATATGGAAATTATGCTGGAATGACAGTGATCACATCACTATCATTCGTAACGAATCTTACCACACATGGACCTTTTGGGACTGCTACCGGCACTTCTTTCTCCATGCCAATGGAAGGTTCTCTCGTGAATGGATTCCATGGAAGAGGAGGCCATTACCTTGATGCAATTGGCATCCATGTCAGACCGGTAAAGTTTTTATTTTTTATTTTTTTGAAGTTGTAAATTAGTAGTTTGAAAATAATTTCAGTAAGAAATAATTTCAATAGCAAGTTCGAATCCCAACTGCAGCCAAATTAACCCAAAAAAAAAAGTTGTTGATCATGATGCAGAGGGACACAGAAGGAACTATTTCAATTGGTCCATGGGGAGGCCAAGGTGGGGATCCGTGGATTTATACAACAAATAGACATATAAACCAGATAATCATCCACGTAGGGTCAAACATCAAGTCCATATCTTTCCGAGACACAACTGACCTTGCTTCAGCAACATTTGGTGGCAAGAACCCCAATGACCTTGGTGAAAGGGAAATTGTAAGCAATCCCTATTGTGGCTTGTTAAGTTTACTAAATAAAACAAAGCACTTATGATTCATAAACTACTAACTAAAATATATCTATGGTTCATATAGCTAACTTATTTTGATTTGTACGTGTTTATATGATTTGCAGGTTCCTATTAACTGGCCTTCTGAGCACCTAATATCCATAAGTGGGACGTATGGCCCTTTCGCCGGTTTATTAACGATCACATCACTGTCATTTATTACAAATCGGGCTACATACGGACCTTTTGGAACCACTTCTGGCACTTCTTTCTCGATCCCTATGAACAATAGTACGGTAGTTGGATTCCATGGAAGGGCTGGCCACTACCTGGATGCCATTGGAATCTTTGTGAAACCAGAAACGAAAATCTCACAAGGCTCATGATTTTGTGCTTAAATGCTCTATGCATTTTCTGCCATAATGTGTGGATGTGGGAGTGTTTAGTTGTCCCGTAGTGTCGTTTACAAGAGTTTTTATAGCTCTTGCTTTGTTCGATTTCATGATGGTTGTATTATGTATCCATGTCGCGTCTTAGTGGAATAACTGTACTGTGTCATTTACAAGAGTTTTTATAGCTCTTGCTTTGTTCGATTTCATGATGGTTGTATTATATATCCATGTCGCGTCTTAGTGGAATAACTGTACTACTTAGTGGAATAAAAAAACTCCCATAAGCTAATTTATGGCACTGCTAGCTTAATATTACTTATGTAGACTCAATTGATGCCTGTAAGATTTGGCTTCTCGGTATTGGAGTAATCTCTTGGGTTGAGGGTTGCAAGTTTGAACCCTAGCTAGAGCCAAATGAAGCTAAAAAAACTGATTAGCATCTTATAAATAAAAAATGCTTTTTTTTTTTAACATATTTTGTAAGGGGCGGATTTTAAACCCTGTTCGGGGGGAATGCACCAGTGGCTAATGCCACTAGACCTCAAGAGCCAAGTGCAAATAAAGAATGCTTTTTGATTTCTTCATGTACTTAAAAATTCATTTACCCTGCTTGCTAACTTGAAAATTCACTTACAAAGTTACAATCAAAAAGGCTCAAGGACCCAATATCACCTTGATGCAGTTGGCATCCTGAGTGTGGGCTTCCATTACCTGTGGTTTAGTGTTAATGGATTGGGCTGAATATGTAAGTTTAAGGGATGTTCGTCTTCGGCCCAGATGTCATTTAACAACTATAATGTGTTTTGGGTAGTTATAAGAGCAGGTCATAAATTAATTGAGGCTCATGATGGGTTGTGGCCAGTTGGATATTTTTCTATGAATGGACAAGATCCATCTCGCTAGTTCACAAATATATACACATGGGTTTTGTGATGGAAAGTTAGAGCTGTTTGATGTACACATGGGATTTGCCATGAAAAGTTAGTGGCGTATATGAGTATGGCTCACTCAAGCACATTAACAGCTAAAAATCAACCCGAATTGATATTGCATTTGTCGTATGTTTATTAGCAAGATTTAGTTCTTCTTCAAAAAGAAGATATTGGAATAGAGTTAAACATGTATTGTGATATTCCTGAGAGACCATTGATATGGGGTTATTTTATTCAATTAATTCTAGATCACAATTGATTGGCTATGCAAATACAGGATAATTATCCAATCCACATAAAGCTCGATCGTCTCAGAATGATTATTTATTTACATGTGCGCATACTAGTATATCATGGCATTCCACAGAAAAAGCTTTAGCTGCCACCTCATCAAATCATGTAGGAATAATTGTAGTGCATGAGGCCAGTTGAGAATGTATTTGACTAAGGTGAATAACTCAACGTACCCAGAAGATGTGTTCTTTATCTCTAGTACAAAAGATCCCAAAAATATTATGCAAAGATAATGTAGCCTGCATAGCTCAATTAAAAGAGGATACATCAAAGGAGATAGAACGAAACATATTTCATTAAAATCTTTTTTTTTTTTTCACTTATGATCTTCAAAAGAATGGTGATATAGATATTCAATAAATTCATTCATTTGATAATCTGGCAAATTTGTTCACTAAGGCATTATCAACTATCACGTTTGAGAAGTTATTGTACGGTATTGGGATGCACCGATTCAAAGACATAAAGTGACGTTCTTATTAAGTGGAGTAAAAGACACGATGTACTCTCTTTTCTTTAAGGAAGGTTTTGCTCTATTGGGCTCTCCTAGTAAAGTTTTTAATGAAGCAATTTATATCATAAACATTGTTTATTGAAGTTAAAGCATGAAAAAGAGAGGAGAGAACATTGGAAGAGAAAATATTATTGAATGATATAAATATGAGTACATAAGTAGCCTTTTTATAGACATTAGGTAACCCATTGACCAAGAAATCTAAACCCTAAATCAGAACTTTGTGACATTGCCATGCAGACCTCCAATGCCTTACACCAAAACCCTAGACTAAATGAGAAAAGAATGTCCCGTCGGGGAATGACTTTGTTTTTGGGAACTAACCACCTTCAATGGTGGACTCACCCTTTTGCATTACACAAAGCCGTAAGCTAAAAAGAGGGTCTTGCTTATAAAATTATTCTTTAATTTTGAAATACATGCAAGTTAATGTGAAAAGGTTGTAACTGTTAAAAGAATTAAACTATTTTCAATTAATTTTAAGTTCAACCAAAGATGTAAAAAATACTTTATACAAAGAAAGGACATTCATATTTTCATCAATCCCTTTTTTAAAGTGGAGGAAGTAGGGAATGAGGAAATTAGAAAACTCAAGATATGTTGGCTCGATATCAACAAGAGAATCAGGGGTGTTTAGGGGAGAGAAAAAATTTAATTGAGGGAAAAAGAGGTAAAGGAAATTACAAGAAAAAGTGCAAAGTCTTATTTTAGATTGATATGCCCCTGATGCTAATGTGGATGACTTACCTAAATATTTTTGAATCTCCAAATATCTCCTTTCTAAAAATCTTAATCATGATTTTAACTCTAGTAAGATTTTCATATAAGGTAGATATTAATGTACCTATAACTAATGCCTAAAGAATATAGATTAGATAAACCCTTAGATAATACAACCTCTTAATTCTTGTTTTCTGCTTTTTTCATTCCCTCCTTTCTCCACTTTAAAATAAAAATGAAATAATTGATACACTTAATATGCAAGTACAACTTTGTGGCATAAGAAACAACTAAGTAAAACTATAAGGCATAGGAAACAGCTAAGGTTATGTTTGATAACATCTTTCCATATTTTATTTTTTAGTTTTTTTTTATTATCTTAAAAATA